ACAGAGCCTTGGCAACTAACAATCGGCCTGAGCAGAATACCATCTTTGTGAATCTTAGGGAGACCGTATATGTGAGGTAGCTTGTTGTAATGCTGCGATAACTGCCTATACATCTTAGGTGCGAAGTGATCCTTGTTCTTGATTAGGATCTGTGACAGTTTGCGTCCCGTTTTCATAGTAGGATCCTTTTTCACTTAGCTGTAGCTACCATTGCTAATGAGGTCTTCCAGTTTTTTGTATAATCTGATCTGTCCATCACTACAGTCGCATTACCTTTGTCAGACGGTAGTATGATGATGTTTTCATTCCTCTGTAGGGATCTGATTGCCAGCCTCTCCAGTTTTGTTATGTTAGACCTGAATTAATTTGGCTCTCTCAAGGTCTGTCTTACCTTCCATCTCAGTTCATCCGCCTGAGCCTGAGGGATGTTCAAGGCCACCTCCTCGACTCAATAATGATGTCCAAGTATGGCACTCGCCTGATGGTTGTGGCAAAGTTGAGACCCTTATTCAATACTGACTCCTTAAAGGCACTCAGCTGATATTGGCTGATGTTGACTACTGCTTTCACTGGTGGGTGATGGACCTTGTGCGTCACCTTCTGATCTTTCAATCTATTTAATTTTTGCACTTGGCAAGCCTTGACTACATCAAATTCATGTCTGAAGGATTTATCCAGGTCATTTTGGATCCTTCTCTGGTCTTCTTCATTAGTAATTCTGTTGAAGAAATCCTTGAGCATCTGGGATATTAGTATTGGTTCATCTCCATCATCATTGGTGAAGGTTATATATATATATATATATATATATATATAGATAGATAGATAGATAGATATATTGTGAATATCTATATAATCATCTCTTCATACCCAAATCTTTTAGTAAATGGAGACATTTCCGTGGACGGATGCATTAAATTGACAGGGGAAAGGGAAAGCAAGAGAGAAGGGAAGAAAGAAGGAGAGGAAGAAGAAAAGTGCCGGATGGTCAAGTTCTTTTTAAAAAGTGGGATAGAAAAAGGGTAAGGAAAGGAAAAGGAAAAGGAAGAAGGAAGAGTTTAATGGGTAGTAGTAAGCCTAAAATAGAGTAACCTGACCAAGAATTTTTTTCTTAAAGTGTGGAAATTATACAGTAAATTGACTGATATGGCCTGTCATTTTAGGCAGGACAAATCAACACATTTTCAAATTAGTTAGTATAATAAAAGGGCCCTTAATACACATAATAAATAAAAATTTCAAGAATGATAATAATATCAAGCATAAATGAAAGGATTTTAAATAGAGATAAATAATAAAAAGTAAAAATAATACAAAAGTTGTTAATTTAGGATTATAAATTTTGTATACATTGAGTAGGACAGTCATAGATTCAACTACATATAAAGAAACACACACAATAAAAACACAAAACCATGTGACACTCAATATAAACACACATCCACACATACACATATACATATAGACATACAAACACATGAATATATGTTCACCCATATGTGCTAACACTGATATAAACAAATCATTATTTCAAATGTGCATCCTCCACAAAAAACACAATATTTTTAGGGAATTTTAAATTTGTTTTTATGTATACACTTGATATTCAGTTTGTCCCTGGTTAGCATTTCTGTATTTGATTATTGCAATTTTTTCTTGTATACACAGATCACATCTGTCCTATAAGTTGTTAGGGATTTGAGACCAACAGATGATTTCCAGTTTGATTAGTGGGGTGAAATCACTATCTTTAATCTTCCAATAATGCTTAGATAGGGCAGTTTGGTGTTTCAAGGAAGCCTTAGAGAAGGAATGTTGGTGACTATATAGTCTCTGTTTCCAATTTCCAATGGATATCCCTATGTATGTTTTTTGTTGTTGATGTTTTTCTTTTGGAAAAGTAATAGCTTGGTAAACCACATTTTCCAAATTGCAGATACCTCTGAATGGCCAATTAGTCCCAGTTTTATAGTTACAAGAGGTCTTGTTTTCTGTTGTTTTGCTATCATGAAATGCTTTTAGTGTTTGGCTGTTGTGTGTGCTAATAATGTTCTGCATGTTTTTGGTGCAGGAATAACTAATTTTGAGAGTTTTTCTATTGAAAATTTTCTGTAGGGGGTTATTTTCATTAAAGTGTTTGTCTACTAAGTTTAAGAAGTGTCTGCCAATATTTACATTGAATAGCTTACAGAAAGTGGGGTTCAACCATATTATCTTTCTTTTTCTGTTTGTGGTTCTACTCATTTTATTATTTTCCACAGATTCCTGGTAAACTAATTTTTGTTTTAAATTACCCTTGCTGAGGGCTTCATTATAAATTATTTTGTTCTCATTAAATATTTTTTGTTAGACGATTGTTTACAGTGTGATGGATTTGTTTAATTATTGAGTTTGGGTTATTGGAGTTTACATTAATGTAAATAGGAGTTTGGTTTTCTTTGTGAGATGGCTTATAGCTGTTGTTAGAGAGGTTGAAAGTGACATCTAGGAAATTGACTAAGGTTAGATGAGATTTCAATTTTGAAACCTAGAAATTGGAAAGCCCTTATAATTTTCTTCTGCATTCTTGACTGTTACTATTTGGGATGTAAATAAGTCCATCATCTTTGTAAAGACCCACTTGTTTAGGATCAATAATCCTACTAAAAGTATCTAATATCTACTATACCTACTAAATTTGAGTGGAGTCATATGCTCCTATAGGAAAGTTATCATTATGTCTTTTGGCCCAAGTAGAATTGTTATATATTAGTAGAAATTGTCTAGTAGATTGTCTGTCAGAGTCATCATTAGTAATGTCAATTTGGCTTTTAGCAAAGTCTAAACTTTTTAGTAGTAGATATTTTTTAGGGGGCAGTTGCACATTTGAAGTGTTGATTCAATTATATGGGTGTTAGCACATATGGGTGTACATATATGTGTATGTATGTATATATGCATATGTGTATGTGTGTTTATATTGCATCATCATCTCAATTTTTTTAAAAGAACTTGACCATCCATCACTTTTCTTCTTTCTCTTCTTTCTTCCCTTCTCTCTCTTTCCCTTCCTCCTGTCAATCTAATATATCAGTCCAGGGAATTGTCTCCATTTACTAAAAGATTTTGGTCTGAAGAGATGAATATATAGATATTTATGAAATAAATCATAACCAAAATAAATCTTTATGGTTTTCTTCTTGATTATTATTATTATAATACTCTGTAGTTTACATTGAACTCTCCCTGGATTAATAACCTCCTTGGAATTATCCCTACCAGTCACAAATTGGTAATATATATATATATATATATATATATATATATATATATATATATATATATATATAATATATTATTATTATTATTATTATTAATGGATTTTTTATTTTTAATCTGACATATTTTTTTTATTACTGCAAACATTATCTTTGGCAAATACCTGTGTTCGAGTGGAACATCCCATTTTTTAAACAGTGTTTATTTCATCTACCTCCTTGCATATTCAAGAAAACTTAATAAAGAAAATATGCCCTCTAGCAGGATTCAAACCTGTGTCTCCCTTCATAGTAGGTAGCACCATCTGATCTGATGGGCTTTAGACCATTCAGCTATGTAGAGTCTCACAGTCAAATAAAGTTCTATTTGCCTTAACTATTTGCTTAACTGTGAGTCTTTTTGTAGCTGAATGGTCTAAAGCATGCTAGGTCAGATGGTGATATCTCCTATGATGTATTCTCAAATGTACAAGACAATAGACGGAATCAACGCTTTTTTAAAAAATGGAACTTTCTATTCAAATATGAGCACTCTCACAGTCAACCTCACCTAATTCAACAGTGGTAATGAGGTGTTTAAAGTTTTTTTAAAATAATAGAAAGACACTCACTTGAATTCCAGCCATGTTCAACATATGAAGCTTAGAATAAATGCTCCTACTAGTATTCAAAACAGCACAAAAGCACATCTTATGCAGTCAAACATAAAGAGAAATTAACAACACCCAAAACAAACTCCCTTGAAAATGGCTAAAGAAGTGGCCAAAAGCACTTGGGACAATGAACAATATTGACAATTTATGCACTCCCTTACTCATACCAAACAGAAAAATGTAAGAATGCTTTAAAAACAAAATAAAAAAAATCAATTAAATTTTCCTTGTCTTTATCAGTCATATTCAATGAAACATGTTTAAAAGAAAGTTTGCTACCCAAATATACATATATATATATGTGTGTATGCATGTGTGTGTGTGTGTGTATAAACTGTTGTAGATCTGCATTCCTCAAGAAAGATACTTATTTCTTTACTATATTCAAATATATTCAAATATCTTTATATAAGGAAAGCCATTGAATTTGCTGAAATGTAGTATCAACAAAATTAGCAGAAAAAATTCAATCAATGCTCCAAATAATTGCTGAATTCATGTGAAACTTTTGTCTTTAGACTTACTCTACATGAATCAATGAATTATTTTGCTGGCACATAATTAAGTTATGCCATTCAGTAAAATACACATAATATGTTATGTTATAGGTTTTGTACAGCAAGAGGTGTGAGAACATTCAGTGAAGATCAAACTCTGTACAGCCAGTTTACTTATCATTTCTCCACAGTGAGGGTACCTGAAATATTAACTAAGCTTAGCATAGTCTGGAACAAAGTGTGGGGCACTCAGAGAAAATTGAACATACTATCAGTGTGAATTAGTCTGCAAGATGAGCTCACTAAATATTGTGTAATGCCTGGCATCCAATTCATATAGTTATAGTATAACATGATCTAAAAATATATAATAATAATAATAATAAATATTAAATGTTACTGAGAAATTCTTTTTTTAAAGTTTTTATGAAATAATTGTAATTATTTTGACTGGATCAATCAGAAACAATAAATACTAATTTGGGAATATGATAAATGAAGGTTAATATTCTCTACCTAAAGTTTTAAAATTAAATAGCAAAAAAATAAAAATGGTTTCACCAGAGCCAATACTCAATAGTTGCTCTACTTACCTGGGTAAGAATGTCGTTTGTAAGGTGAGCTGTTGCATTGTTGTAGACACCTGTTCAAATTAGAAACTGGAGTCACATTGTTGTTGTTGTGGTGGTTATTCTCATTAGAAACCTGAGAGGCAAAATAAAGCAATGAAAGAAATTACTTGGGGTATTTTGATAATGGTGATGTCATTAGGGTGGGCAGGTGTGATTTTTAATCAACCATTGGCAATTAAAATAAAACACAGAAGGAAAAGAGTATTAAAAGTGACTGTAAATAAAATGCAAGTCCTGCCTGCATAGAATTCTGTGACTGGCAGTGAAGATAACATTAATGTGCGAACTTAAAATATTCATGTTTAATTAAACCTTACATTGCATCTTTTAAAATTTAAATTCTTTGTTGTCTCAAATTTGAACTCTATCATTATTCTAGAAATATTAGAATAGTTGTTTTTCTCACATTTTATACCTGAATTTTTTGCCTTTTATTAAAAGAAAGTATATGAAATTAAACACATGCCAAAGTTATGAATTTTAGAAGAAAAATATAAAAAGAAAAACATTAGATGAAATCTTGTGACTAAAAAACAAGGAAAATGATAGCCCAAATAAATTGTGACTAAATTCTTTCCTTTAATATTTTACCATATAACAAAATTATACAATTATTGTACAGATAATAACCATATTCTGTCAGCAACATTTGCATTAATTTCTGTCTACTAACAATCTCAGGACAAAATTTGGTACTGAATCCTATTTTTCTCTTATAATGAGAAACATTTAGCTTCTTAGCATAAAAAAGACCAAATGATGAAAAATGGTAAAGCAAGCAGACAGCAATAAAAACAAATCTAAATGCATTGTTATATATGCAGAGTTTCAATGAAATAGATAGTAAAATGTAATTGATACTACAAACTGAAACTAGAGATAACTACCTAATAAAGTGTAACTCTTTCCTTCATTTGAATAATATCAGTTTTATGATGTGGCATGATGCCTATGAGGTGCTGGAGTCATGTAGGTATATCAAACCAGGCACATTTCATAGCTGTCCATAACAGAATTCTATTTCCTGTGGGCACCTTCAGAAAATCTATTGAGGTCTACACATTCCATACATGTTAGCAAGTGCAAGGGTCAATGGAGTACCTGAAAATCAGCTGAGTATTGCTGGAACCAGTTTTGTACCACCTATACATGATGGGGTGGGGTTGCATTCTCCTGGAACAAATCATCACTGATAGGAAACATGATACATATAAAGGGATATAATCCAACAAGATCTATGTATGTCATACTTGTCAATTCAGACTCCAATTTTACTATTGGTCCTGGGAGATAACAATTGATCACACTTGACACCATTACAGAGTCAGCATCACTAATTTGCATAGCACCCTGCAGACAGGCTGCATCCACAGCCTCATGCAATCTTCTCCACACACAAACTGTCTAAAGAGGTGGAAACATAAATTATCTGACCAGGTGATATAGCACCAGACTTCTATGGTCCAATGGACTTGTTCTCTGGCCTAGGTGAAGTGCAGTAACCAATGCCATGGTCAATAATACCTTGTTGAATCAATGACAATAAAACCACATGGAATGCAATGTACATTATACAGTGCATTGACTGATGAGTTGAGTGGCATAAGTACTGAATTGAAATTTGATCTGATGCAATGTTACACTATGTTGGTTGGTTACTATCATTGTCTTATGGTCTTGTTCTTGTATAACTTGTGGATGTCCACAGTTTTAATATGTCACTAATGTTTGTCCAGAATGTATATATTCCTGGTATAACTTTGTTATTGTTGGCTGAGTGAAATATAGAGCACTCCCATTTTCTAAGCACAAAATTCTGTTTGCATCCCCCATAGGTACACTACCTCGTTATCTATTACATTATAAATGTGTCATCCAATAGAGTTCATTTCTACAAGTGAAAGAGGGTGAAAAATCTAGCACATTGGTGTCTCTAATCTTTTGGTATTTTAGTTTATATCTAATTATTAGAATGAATAAAAGTTTTGTTGTGTTTAATAAAATTCTATCCATGATATCATAGGTTAATAAATAGCTACTTTATATATAAAATATATTATATTTTTTTCCTTATTTTCAATATACAACATAGTTTTTGTCAAAACTTGCTTAAATAAATTTTAGGGAAAAAATGCTGTAAAATTCATTGATTAGATCATCAAATTAAGCATGAATGTTACTATAATCATTTTCATTTTTTCATAGCTATCTGAATGATGTTCACCTTCTTCCACATGACCAACACATAACAAGTGTAGGTTATTACAAATTCTTTCATTAGTTTGGGTGATAAAAAGTACTCTAGTTATATTTCTAAAGTTAATAGATTCCATAAGTTTTATCAAATATTAAATAATAATCTTTGAAGCCTTAATATTATATTTGCTGTATCTGTTTTCACATAAACTGAATGAAATTCTTAGGATTTGCTTATTTCTTGTATATGCTTTTAACATTTGCTATATTACTATATATGTAATCATGAGAGTGAATGATATTTTGATATATTTGTTTAATAAATCTTACCCAGGTTATTATAGGTTATATAAACAACTAATATCACATAGAAAATAAATGCCTTAAACTGAATGTGTCTTCCCTTGTTTTAAGTGAATCCAACCATTGTTTCTTGCAGGACAGGCAAGGAAAATTATTGTAAAGCTACAGAATTTTTTTTCACTTCATTCCATAATTATGACACTTAAAATTACTTATAACATGCCAACTGTAGAGAAATTATTAGAAAACTAATATAAGGACAATAGAATTATATACTAATGATAATAATATATGGTAAATTTTATGAAAAAATAAAACAAAAATCTTTTGTGCTCCTTAATAACAAGATGATTTAAGAGAATTCAATCTAATTTTGTATGGATTGTTTTAATTGACTCTGCTTGTGTTTGAAGTATTTTCTATGAAAAACTGATTAATCCACAGATCAAGAGGAATCAGAAAAGTCAATCAGAAAATCAATAATCTCATTACAAAGATTAATTGAAACAATCCCAAAATTCATATGATTATTAACAAAGCAACATTTGTCAAGCTAAATGTCATTTTGATCAAAATGTTCCTTTGCCAAAGATCAAGTTCTGAAGATTAGATCCACAAAAGGGTTTACTATTAAGGAAAAGTCCTTCTAAATATTTATTATAGGAAGAAAATGCAAATTATGCATATCTATGTCCCTATTCTATTAGTAATATTTGACTTAACTCTTGGTCATGATAATTGCTTTCTTCTTGATTTTCAAAGCATAACATACAGATTGAGTTCTAAAATTCACTCAAACAAAATTCAGTGGTTTATCACCAAATTCTGCTTTTAAGTACCAACTTTACCATGTTAATTGTCATTTATAGCCTTGTGAGCCTTTACAGATCACTTTGATTGTATAACAATTGTTATATAATAATAGCATTTTGGAATGATCAATACTGCTGTATTACAAATTCTCCTGTGAGCAGGGAAAATGCACTTTTTGCACCTTCTAGGTATACTTTATTTTGTATTTGCTTTGTAGCAGAATATAAATAAAATAAAAATGACAAAACTTACTAAGAGCTATAAAGGAAAGGAAATTGTAGAGAGCCATGTTTGCCAACATCCTGAAAGGACATGGTACATAAGAGAAGAATATATTTGATCTATATATTTCCTTAGCTCATTGACATAAATGAACTATGGAAATTTTTGCAGCTGCTTAGTTTCTGTATATTTTTGTTATATTTGCTATGCTACTATATATATAATCATTAGGGTGAATGAAAGTTCTGAGTATATTTAATAAATCCAGTCTGGGATATCAAAGGTTATAAACATTTAGTACAGTAGATTCTGGTTGATTGAATCACAATGAAAATAGAAGGATTTGGCCCAATGAAGTTGTTGCCCCAGTTTATACAAAACTATTTATATAAACAATTATCCTATAGTATAGATTTAGCAACAAGTATTTTAACAGAGGTTGGAAAATGTGACACTGAGATCCAAACATGCATTAGTCTAGCAAAAGAGGCATTCCAAAAGCTAAGCAAAATGCTGATAAATAGAAAAAATTCATTAGAAACAAAGAAAAGGGTATGGGATTGTTGTGTGGTATCCATCCTCTTATATGGCAGAGAATATTAGAAAATTTTCATAAAGATGATGAAAAAATTAGAAGCAGTGTAAATGTAGTTCTACAGAAGGATACTGAAAATTTCATGGATAGAGTAAGCAACAAGAAAGTCTTAAAGAAACTGGCAACAGAATCAGAACACTTATACTCAAAATCATGAAATGACATCTGAAATTACTTGGACACATAATAAAGAAGGGAAGCTTGGAAAACTTAATACTCACAAGGCATACTGAGGGCAAGGCAGATGAGCTTGTTTGAATGGATGGCAGAACAGGGTACGAGAGCTTTAGCAAATGGAGAAAAGCTGCTAAGACTTACATGGGATAGAAAGTTGTAGAGAGCCATGATCACCTATGTCTTGAACATACTGAATAGTTATAATCCTTCCATGACATTCAAGGAATTTATCAGGTATACTCTTCCCTCATCAAAGTAAATGCATATAAGAATAATCTGTATAAGTATCAAATAAAGATAAGACCCTATCTTCTTTTAAAAAAGAAGATTGTTATCTATCTGCACATGTTATTGTTTCCTGCTTAGTCATTTATTTATATCTGGGTGTGTCATCATCAGGATTTTGGTTTCTGATATTTTTTTAAAAGTTTTCTCATGATTTGATCAATAACTGCATCATCATTATCTTCATTCTCTATTGTAACACAAGGCTGTTACTGGCACAGGGAAATTCTTTATAAAACATGTTGTACCTCCAAAATGTTTTTGTTTTCATTTTTGAGTCTATCAGATTTTTTCACATCAGAATGTTTAAAATCACAATGGACAAACTATTTCTTGATTGACTCAGCACTTATTTTTCTTTGACTGTAGTTAAGAATTTGCAAGACTTGTTCTTGATGGTTTGATTTGTTCCAGAATAGTCATTTCTTTTAGAAAGTAATAAATCTTTATATAAAATCATGCTATTAGAGTCTTGAAATTTC